AGACCTGTTTTCTTTGATTACCAGATTGTTTCTAAGTTCATTCAAGTCTAAGGGCCTTAATTATAAAGGTAGCTGTTGCAAATTGATTGTAACATAACAGTTTGGATTCATTTACCATCATTGACATGTGGGAATACGATTTAATGTTAGCTCTCAATTCTTAAAATATTGGTAGATATTTTGGGCCCAGGAAGCTCATCCATGGAGTGGTTGACTATTGTTAACAGCAATGAGGACCACACTCATTCGGTGCCATAAAAGGGATGGCGCTGGTGGAGACCCGCTCCTCAGAAGTGCTGCTGGTCCCCTGGCAGACAGGAAGGAGCTGGTTTCCGTGGGGTCCACAGGCTGGCAGAACACCCCAACTCCCACTCATTTTCCACAAACCTTTACTTCCAGGAGACCTCCTGCCCCCTTACCCTCCACTGGACCAGGAGAGGATCAGAGCCCACTGAGGTGTGTGTCCCTTAGGGAAGGCTCCGCTCATCTGGAGGGAACAATTCTTCTGGTTTCATACCTGGAATTAGGTGGTCAGGCTTTAATTTTTAAAACTTTCTATCTCAAAATTAGATTGTTTTCAAACCATCCTCACACTGACCAGGAGTTTCTGGAGGGCACAGCCTCTATCTTATTTATCTCTTTAACCCTCAAAGTGCCCGGTACAGACCGAGTGTAGAGTAGGCATTTGGTAATGGTGGTTGAATTAAGTTGAATCATTATTTTTCAAAAGTCCTGTCATAGTATCATCTCTTAAAGCAGCTTGCTGCACCGCACACAAAGTTACTCTACAGCCAAAGGTTGAATCTGTGTATCTTACGTTAGACAAGAAACGTGTTCCCTGTTGATGGGTGGCCAAGTGAACTTTTGTAAATGAATCCTTATCCCATGTACTTACGCTATCATCTGGGAGATGCTAACATTAAGTGTTACTCTTTTTTTCCCCTTTCCCCAACTCTACCTTTTACCATCCTCCCTAATATAAAAATCAATAATTCATTGAACTGTGATATTTATTGGTCATCTATAAGTTGTTAGAGTAATTTTAGACTGTTAATCCACACTCCTACCACAAATATTTAAATACAATGCAGGAGTATTGTTTAATTTCTATTGTAAGAATCCTATTGTAAAGCAAATAATCATTTAGGAATGATTTAATATTATTTCAGTTTTGGTTTTGTCTGGGTTTTCTTTCACCAAGCCCCTAGGTGTATGGCTCACAGCTCTTGGATATTTGTGCAGCCATGACCTTACTGTCTCAGTGTTTGCCCGGTGGCACTGGCAAAGCTTACACTGACCACCCCCCAAAAAAAAACACAAACAACAACAACCACCACAAAACAACTGGGGAGATTTGAAATGGAAGTGAATAATCAGGGTGGGGAATAGTCAACTCAGATTTGAGTAGTTAAGATTCTCCATAATGTAGGCTTCTGATCCCAGATTTCAGTCATATCCTTTCTCTCCACTCCTGTGAGCCAATAATATTAATTAGGAGGTCCTAATTCCCAAAAGTAATATTCCCATTTACAAAAGAATTTTCTATAAAGTTCCTTCTAATAACAAGAACGCCTGGAGCTTCTAAAATAGGACTTAGTGTACAATCATTCCAAAGGTGATACTGTGTACCAGGTGCCACGGTAGGTACAAAGGTGAAAAGAAAGATGTCACCACCAGAAGCAGATATGGCGCTTGCAATATGGCGCTTTGATGTGGATGCCGAGTTAGGAGGCTGGAGGGATGGGATACAGATGGTGGGGCAGCAACAGTAGCTGACTCTCCCCTCAGCATTGTAGCCCAGTTCATCTTGCAAACCTGGTTGCTCTTGGAGAGAATGAACTAGACAAAATGAAGTGCACAGCCTTTGCCAACATTTGTCAAGCTCAGTTCCTCTATCTCAAGGGCAGGACAGCCAACAGCCCACACATCGGGCCTAAAGTTAGATAGGCCTCAAAATACCAGTGACTGGATATTGGTTGAGCATGAACTAGGAATGATTACACAGGGGTTGGGGTGACTTTGGAAAGCAGGCCGCAGATAGAATGCCACAGTTCCTGCATTCACTGCCTTGTGCCCAGTCCTCCCATGATACTGGCCTCTTTCTGAGTTGGGGGGTCAGAGGCTGGTGTGACTTTGGAAAGCAGGCCGCAGATAGAATGCCACAGTTCCTACATTCACTGCCTTGTGCCCGGTCCTCCCATGATACTGGCCTCTTTCTGAGTTGGGGGGTGCAAAAGGGAACCATTAGCACAAGCCATGAATGAGCCATAGCTTTTAACCAGCCCCAGCAGCAGGCAAAGGATCCTAAATCACCACATTCCTTCCCCAGGAATCCCCTTCCCACATGCTCTCCACATCTCCACACCTGCCTAATCTTCAGGACCTCCCCCCAAGATCCACCTCCCCAGGAATAATTCTCTGATTCCACCAAACCAGTTGTGCCAGACATTAGTCTGAGGGCTCTTCACACACCATCCCACTAAATCCCTATAGCAATCTATTGATAGGTATGATTATCCTCATCAAGAGGACACTAAGGCTCTGAGAGGTTAAATTTGTCCTCATGGCTTCAAGATGACAGAGATAGGACTGAAGCCCCAGTCTACATGACTTCAAAGCCTGTGTTCTTAAGCACTTTCTACATGATGTCAGCTCCCCAGCATCACCCCTTTTTCTGACCCACGATGTTCTAGACTTGGTCCCACTTTTTTGGGTTAGTTCATATGCTTATAGAATGAGGTGTTTATTAACTATGTAAAGCATTTCCCCACCTTCATTGAAGGTTGTTTGAAGAAAGGGCTGACAATTTCTACTTCTCCATTTCTCTTAGGGGTCTATTGTATGAAGTGAGGTATATGAAGTAATTAAACATTTGTTCATTCATTGTGGTTGAACTCAGACTACTCACCCTTTCCCACACACCCTGTGCCTGGTGAAACATGGATTGTCCACACATTCTATTTCCCAGTTCTACTCCATTCCTGATACACATAACTGGCTTTCTGATTTCACAATTAACTCAAGTTCCAAAAGGAAACCTTTTATGACATCCAATATTTTTATTTATTTTTTTGAGCGTTCCTTTTGATTAATTTCAGGGCATAAGTAGATCTAATAGAGATGAGATTGAAAGGAAAATCTTGGCCTCACATCAATGAATACAGACCGTGCCTGGAGTGGGAGGAGAAAAGGTGCTCCCCCAGGGACAAACAACTGGACCCAGAATGAATATAAAGACAGAGGACCTGGGGCGTGGAGGCACCATCAGGGAAAGACTCACTCCGAGGGCCTGTCGCTGAGCCAGAGCTGTCCCTCCCGAGATGAAGCTGCTGCTGCTGTGTCTGGGGCTGACGCTGGTCTGTGCCCATAATGAGGGAAACCCTGATGTTGTGACAAGCAACTTCGATATGTCAAAGGTAGAGCTGGGGGCATAGTGTCTTCTGACTTCGGGGTGGTTTGGGAGATTCTGAAGCAAGATGGCCCTAATGGAGGGCAAGAGGTTTTTGACATGTTAGGCAAAGGGGGTGGTTCCTGATCTTGGACAAAAAGCAGTCGTAAGATGTGGGAAAATGATAACACTTGGGGACTTCCATTCTCATTGGAGGTCAGTGGAAGGAGCCTTTCATGTGGAGTCAACTGACCTGTGTTCTAATTCCATCTCCATATTGTTATGCCCAGATTTCAAGATCCCCAATAGACCACCAGGGAGCCAGCCAAGTCCGATGCAAAAGCATAGTCTTTATTCAAACTAGTTTGGGCCCCCCGTCAGCCACACTCGCCGACGCAGTGGCAATTTGGGCCCCCCCGTGAGCCACATTCGCTGATGCAGTGGCAAGCGGCCAAGAGAGCGCATGAACCCTGTGGGAAGAGGGGTTTAATAGGGGGGTTGGAGTAAGGGGAGGAGAGAGGACTGTGGGCCCTGCCGATTGGCCGGCGCAAGTCGGTGTCTCGTTACACAGGATGTCGTCCTATCTATGGCACACACTTTCCTTGATTATACTTCTGGGAAGAAGCTTCTTGCTGAGCACATGGCTGCTGCCCCAAAATGGAGGATTCGGGGCAAGATGGAGGGTGTAGCCCTTGCCCTTTCACATATCACCACTATGAGTCCTGGCCCATAGGCCAGAGTTCAAGAATACAGATGTTTATGTGGTATCCCCTCTCTTCTTTTCTTATCCATTTTAATGTTTTTTTTTTTGTTTTTTTTTTTTTGCAGATTTCAGGGGAGTGGTATTCCATTCTCTTGGCCTCAGACATGAAGGAAATGATAGAAGAAAATGGTAGCATGAGAGTTTTTGTGGAATCCATCCAAGTCTTGTACAACTCTTCCTTGTCATTTAAATTCCATATGAAGTAAGTATGGCTTATTTTTTCTTGGGAAAAAAAACCCAAAAGCCTGACTGTGGTGTTGGACCACTAAACACACACACACACACACACAAACACACACACACACACACACACTCATGTGTACACTCACATTGTGGGCTTGTATCCAAAATCAGAGTCATTTATCAGGCACTGATCCATGACATAATGAACTGAGAATTTAGAGATAAGAATTGGTGACAGGAATAAGTTTAATTGGGAGTAGGGGAGTTCAGAGATTGAGGGGTATCAGAATCATAAGAAATGTGGCAATACCATAGGTTAAGTGCATAGGATTGAGGGTCAACAGCCCAGCTATCTCTGGAAATGATCTCTTACTAGTTGTGTGACCTAGAAATTTTATCTCTATCCACCCCAATTTTCCCTTGGGTAAAAGAGGATGATAATAATTCTCTCTCATGGATTTCTTTTTTGTGAAACAATGTTTATTGAGCACTTATCTGAGAGGTGGCACATCTGAGAACTCAACTGATTATGTAGGCAAGTGGCTATGTATATATATAAAACCCTAATATTCAAGTAGTCTGAATGGTGGAACAACCAAACAGCCAAACAACCAAACAACCGGTCACTGTGACGTGCACTGACCACCAGGGGTCAGGTGTGGAATATGGCAGGCATCAGCAGCAAGCGGCAGAGCACAGAACATGGTGGGCTTTGGCTGTAGCGGGGTGGTGGTACAGGTGAGCAGGGATACCAGACCAAGGTGGGGCACTGGTTGCTGTCATCAGGGCGAGCCTCTGGTGGTTACTGAAAATTCTTTGTTCTCTCATGCCACAGTAAAAGTGACATCAGTAGTAGACTCTTTCTTAAAGTAGCAAATAAATGAAATAAGGTAAATAAAAGCTGTTTCAAATTTGTACCAAAATGTTCTACAGTTAATTGGAATCAGACACTCAAGTTGCAGGTGGAGTGTGCGGGAGCCAGACCCATCAATATCTCTTGGGCATCAGGTTATTTTGTTTTACAGGGTCAATGGAGAGTGTACTGAAATTTCTTTCATTTGTGACAAAACAGAAGAAAAGGGTGTATATAGTGTTGAATGTAAGTATACATTAAAAAGTGTTCATAAATTCTACTTTCAATTGCAAGAAATTTACTAAATCCCAATATCATTAGTATCTTGATTAATTCTTGATTGACGCTTATTTAGGTAATGTAAATGGGGCCATCTAATAGCCAATATCCTCAATTTGGGAGAACCTGGTGTGTAAAAGCCAAAATATGGTACATAATATCGTCAGAAAAAGGTAGCAATTTGGTCATATGCACCACCTACAACAGAAGAAAATAGGCACACACAAAAAGGAAATTTTTCTGATAGCTTTTCATTCCCTGCCCACTTTGTTGATTTTTGGTGGCCACTAACAGGAAATTGCTCACATAGAGTGCTGTGTATATAATGCCAGTGGGTTTATAGACAGGACAGAGACACATAGTTGGCAGAGATGGCCGAGGGAGCTAGGTGAGCTTAATAGAAGGTAAGTTGCAGCTGTAGCTGAATTTTTTACCACTAGCAATCAATGTACTACTGCTTGTCAGTTCTACACTTAGAAGTCACCAGATGAAGCCTAAGGAGATGCAAATGGCAGACATTAGCTCTTACTCTATATCTCTTCCAGGGTGAGCGGGGATGCACTTATATTTGCTCTGTGAAAGAGAATAGGTAACGATTTCACTTGCTGTCTATGCACTAAAGACGTTCTGAGTTGTGTTCTCTTTTCTCCACAGATGATGGATACAATACATTTCACATAATTGAAGCTGTCTATGGTGACTATCTTATTTTATATCTCACTAATGTTAAGGATGAGGAAGAAGCCCAAGTGATGGAGCTCTATGGTAGAGTATTTTTATGTGGATATTCAACTTAGAGGGTAAAGGAGACAAAATGATCCTTCCAATCTTATCCTGGGCCATCTCTCCTCCCCTGAAGAGAGGGGCTCACCTTGGGTAATCCTTCAGGCTCAGTGATGGAAAGATGATGAAATTTATCATCATGCCAGAAGGGTATCCTAAAAATGTCAAATTCAAGACAGGAGATAGCCCATCCCTGACTTCTGCCTAAGCACCAGTTGGTGTCAGTCATCTGCCCCCAAGAGCCTCAATGACCAAGACACAGGACACAGCAGTTATTGTCACTCTTCCCACAGCCCGAAAACCAGATTTGAGCCCAAAACTCAAGGAAAGGTTTAGAAAACTTTGCAAAAAAAATGGAATTACTAAGGAAAACATACTGGACTTGACCAAAGTCGGTAAGTTTGGTTATTTCTGGTTTTCTCTTCCTAAATTCCCATGTTACTGGGTGGAGAAATGCAAGAGAAGGTAACATCTCCAATCAGGCCCCTCTGTCCTGACCTGGGAAATCATTTGATCTCCTGCTGAGAAATAAATGGGTTGGTGTTTGACTGTGCTCTGCTCTGTCTCTGCAGATCGCTGTCTCCAGGCCCGAGGGAGCAATGATGCCCAAGCCTCCAGGTTGGTGATGTCTGATGGAAAGGGGGTGGCCCAGGGACCACTGCCTTCCAACACCATTAGGGGTTTGTGTCCAAAGATTACAATAAAGCCCTAGCCAATTAGGCTCAGTGGATAGAGCATCAGCCTGTGGACTGAAGGGTACTGGGTTCCCGGTCAAGGGCATGCACTTCAGTTGCAGGCTTGATCCCCGGCATGTGAGAAGGCAACTAATTGATGTATCTCTCTCACATTGTCTTTCATCTGAAAAATAGGCTCTGACTTTCATCTGTTTCCTACCTTAGCTTTATTTTGCCTCGATTTGCCCCGATCCTAGAATTCTCTTTCTCAAGGAGATACTGAGAGACAATTGCTGCTGAGGCTGATACTGGTTCACCATGTTTCAGGACATGCCTCCACATCCCAGCTTCTCTACATTATCCAGATAATATATGGGAATTTCTATCAACTATGGCCTGCATAAAGTCAGCATTTAATACAGGGTAGCTATGGTTTGCCATTCTTCCTCAATTTATCAAAAAATTGCTCAAAACATTTAATGCTGAGAATGGCAGAAACCAGCCTAGGGTCCTTCATGGATTATTCCTCTCTCTTTCTCATAGACTCAGCTCAGGAAAGGTTAAGCAATAGAAAAACAACAACAACCAGCCATTGATTCAATGACCTCCTTCCCCCTATTCTGGAAAGAAACATAGGTTGCAGTACAGACTGATATCTATTTCCTCACCATTTTTCTCTGTAATAAAAATTCTCTTTGTCTTCAATTAAACCCAGGAAGAGCTTAATGAGTTTCTGTGTTCTCCCTTGTCTGCTTGTTTAGTGCTGAGTGAATGCTTCCTGACCTGGGCTCCAGGATCTTCATTCCCATGGTCCCTGTGTCAGCCTGTGACAAGGTCTGCAACCTGATCTCCATCACTATCATCCAAGAAGGCCTTATCTCTGAATCTAAAGGATCTTCTCTAATTGTCTAGAGACAGACTCAACAATTCACCAAGAATCAAAGGTTTCCTCCAAATTTCTGACTCTGTTTGCCATACTGTTCCTGTACTTTTGCTCACCCTTTGATTGGCCTATTTCTCAGTGATCTGATAAAGCAAACTGTGAGACTTGCCCTACAATTTGGCCTGATCCCAGAATTCTCTTTCTCAAGGGAGTATTGAGAGGCTGATCCCGGCTCACCAAGTTTCAGGACAAACCTCCACATCCCAGCTTCCCTACCTCATGCATTCTGTGGCACACAGCATCATCCTTTCATGCTCTCGGAAAACCTCCTTCAACCAGAGCTGTTATCTACCGTGAGCGTGTTAAGTGAGATGCCAGGAAATGTGAACCATAGAGATCTTTAGCCATCTGTACTGGTACAGTCAGGAATCATCAAGGAGGCTGAATGGCTTTAACCTCTTCTGAGGGGGAGGGGAGCGTCTGGGCTTTGAAGAAAGGAAAGTTAAGGTTCTTCCTCCACTAATAATCCTTTCCTGACATCCGATGATAAAAACTGTCAAAGTTGCAGGTGGGTGCTGGAACAGAGCAACATGGCTAGGGGTTACCATGCAGGAAGAATGACTCCGTCATTATGAACATAAGCTTAAGGACAGAAGGCTTTCAAGGGATATGACGCTCCACATATCTTCCTCTGCCTTCATGTGAGAAGAAAAAGTAAGGCTCTGGCTTATTTCTCCAGAATTACACACGTGGCCTGGTTTGCTGACATATGCAGAAGGCCGTGAAGAAAGCCAACCAGTCATTCTGGGACCTGTCATTTTCAAATGTTATTTAAAGGACAGAAAAGCTAATGCCCAGAGGGCATGGCCTAGCAGATCCTTGGAAATGTTTAGAACATTAACAACCATAACAATCGATGCAAGGAGGACCACTTTGATGGTGGGAGATGGCTAGCTAGTGTCATATGTCAGGAAACTACAGCCAAGAGGGAGGCACACAAAGACCCTCAGCTGCTCCTGGATCAAACTTACTCTGAAACCTACCCCTCAATTCCACACTTTTTCTGTAAATGAGGCATGAAATGTTAAGAACACTCAAAAACAAGGAGTGGCCCTAGCTGGTTTGGCCCATTGAGTGAAGGATCCCAGGTTTGATTCCAGTCAAGGGCACATACCTGGGTTGCAGGTTTGATACCCTGCCCTGGTCAGGGTGCATTTGGGAGGCAACCAATTGATGTTTCTTTCTCTCTGTATCTCCCCTTCCCTTTCACTTTCTCTAAAAAACAATGGAGAAATATCCTCAAGTGAGGATCAACAACAAAAAGCAAAGAGCGAATATGTCTATAAATCAGAAACAGAACAGAGCGGTTATTTCCAAGAGACAAAAAGATAAAAGTTATGGTGGAATCAGCCATCAACAGGAGCTACACTACTGCTCTATGGGGCACTTTGCTCAGGGACTGGAGGGCCAAAGTCACAGCCAAGTCCTACTGGACTTGCCATGACATGTAAATGCTAAGTTGTTTTTTCATTAGTCCGTACTCTTACCACACTGCCCATCAACACATTCTTAGGGTCTGAAAATGAACTGAGTTGAGTCAAGAGTGGGAAACAAGCCTATTGTAAAGAACGCCACAGACATAGACGATGATATGAATACATTGACAGACATGGGACTCATTTGGGTTTGTTTGGTACTAGGAGGTGTGAATTTGGCACTAGCAGGTGTGAATTGGGATTACTCAATAGATCATACAGGCCTCACTTCCTTCAAGAGTTAACTCTACCAGTGGATCGGAAATACAGTGAGGACACTATTCTTGGCATACAGCTGGACAGGAGAAACGGGTCCTGTACTAGTTTCCTGTTTGTGCCGGAACAAATCGCCACAAATTTAGCCTTAAAACAGCACAAGTTTATTATACTACAGTTTTTAAGGTCAGACGTCTGACACATGGCTCCTAGTACCAAACCCAAATGAGCCCCATGTCTGTCAATGTATTCAGATCATCATCTATGTCCTTTCTCAGAGTTTTAAAATTCTCTCCTTGGTCGTCTTCTTGTGTATTCTTGTTTGCTAATTCCTATATACGTTTGTTACCAGAGAAATTAGGGAGTCCATTTTTCCCAACACTAGTGGGTGTGGGGTGGCTCTTGTGATATCTTCTGAAAGAGAATTTTCTAAGATTCACACAGGAGAATGAATGGTTTTTATTGGCATGGTGTTACATTCCTCAGTTGTAAAGTCCCATGCCCCTTAACTGAGTCCTGAAAAAGATGCAGCTGCGAGTTCAGCAAAGCCAACGCAAGGCCAGTGTCCAGAGCTGCTGTTTCATGCTGCAGCCAAGTCCAGTCCTGCATCAGATTATTTAAAATCCATTAGTCCATTGTGTGGAATCCACATTGTGTGGCATCCACAGGGCCCTGTGAGGGAATGCAGGGGAGTGCGGCCCCTGCAACACGAGTCCCAAGAGGTCCAAGAGCCATGAATGGAAACTTCCTTTGTGCAGAAGTTTAAATATTCAGGTTTCAAGCCCTTGCAGTGGCCACACCTATTATGGCCCATTACCTGTTCCCAGGTGTGACTGACAGACAGGAAAGCACCTTTCCACCTCACTCAGACCTTACTGAGAGTGTGTCTATTGTCCAGTCCCTTTCCCAGTGATCAGTGGGGAACAGACTTGAAGAGTGGCATACCTATATTATCCAGTCTTTCCTTTGCTCCTTTCCTGTTAAATAATAACCAGATTATTACAAGGGTATCACTTTCATCAGTTTGTTTGTTTTACTGTGTACAGTTTTTCTATTTAGAATTAGCCAGCTGGACTCAGTTTAGATGATCCCAATTTTATTGGCAACATCCAAAGCATAATAGTTGGGAGACAGTCAAATGTATGCCTCTTGTCTCCAGCTAGCCTGATCAGGGTGTTGACCTTGGACATGTCAATGTCACAGAGCTTCCTCACGGCCTGTTTGACCTGGTGCTTGTTGGCCTTGACATGCACAATGAACACAAGTGTACTGTTGGCTTCTATGTTCCTCATCGGTGGTCAGGGGGAACTTGGTGCTGGCATAGTGTTCAGGCTTGTTTCTCCTGGGGGTGCTTTTCCAAGGATACTTAGGCTGCCTTCAGTGTCACAGTGTCTTTGGCCGTCGAAGGCAGGTAACATACAGATCTCTTTTATGGCTGTGGACGCTTTCAGCACTGCTTTCTTTGCCTTCAAAGCCTTTGTTTTGGCTTTGGCTTTGGGAGGGGCAGGGGCTTCCTGCTTCACTTTGGGCTCCATCTTTGTGAAAAAGGTTGCTTTTCTAATCATTAGTTATGATCATGAGTTTTTGCTGGTATAGAGAAATATACCAATATATACCAAATATACCAATAACTTCCTATTGATTCCTGCAAGCTAATGTCTCTAGCAACTTCGATGAAAGTTTTTATAGTTATAATGAAATTAGTTCCAATATTTTGTGGAGTCTGTTGGTTTTATAGGTATTTGGTCATATTGTTGCAAATGTCAATGTATCTCTTCCAATACTTACGCTTCTTTCTCTCTTTATTTTTGTCCTCTCCTTGTAACTTTAGCCAGAACCCCCTAGGGCACTTAAATATTGAAACCATGTTTTCTATACCAGAAGTTGGTTTGGAACTATGGCCCATAGGCCAATCCTGTCCACTGCCTATTTTGTATTGCCCATGAGCCAAGACATGTGTAATCAATGCAATATTAAAAACACTATTTTCAACCCAATGCTGCAAATTTCCAATAATTTTATTTCAAAAAAGAATCCATTCCTCTCACTGATAGATTTTTATTTTCAAAACAAATTATACTCAATATTCAATTTTGAATTTCATCAAAAAATGTGGAAATGTGTTTTCTCAATTATTCTATTAGTACCTACACAATATCTTTAATTTTGCCTCTTGGCCTGCAAGACCTAAAATGTGTCCTATCCTGCCCTTTAGAGAAAAAGTTTGCTGGCTCTTCTCTGTACCATGGCCTCTCCCCTGACTGCTATTTGCTATAGTTATTTGTTATGCACTGACCCCCCACATGCACAATTTTGTCCAAACAAACCCCTCAGAGTGCCTTCATTAAAATGGGCATTAAATTATCTAACCTTGGGATCCAGGAGATATTTTTAAGTTGTCCGCTTACTGCTCCCCTTGAATGACTTAAAGCCGAATGGAGGAAACACAGATAAATATCAAATAAACTTCCAGAGTCAATGTCAAACCAGGACACCCTGAGGTTATTTGGGGATCCAAGAGCAACAGTGAAGAATCCAGATCTCCTGTCCCAGCTGAGGGGACTTTGCCATCTGAATCTCTGGTCTCAGGACAGACTTTAGTTGGATCTGTCTGTTCTTGGAAGTAGGCCCATCAAGACACCAGTGGTTGTTCTTAAAAGTTAACTCTTCTGAAACATTGTTCTGTTGCTTAAAAAACATGTATGAAAGCTCTGTTACTAGAAGAACAGCGATTGCTGGCTGACCCCTTGGTAAGGAAAGACAGAGGACTGGCAAGCCAGCTTGCCGAGGAGAGCCTGGCCCGGACAGAAGCTGAGCAGCTGCGCTGACAGCCAGGACCCGGCTGCCAGGATTCCCACCTCCACCTTCAGTTTCCCAGGTTTCTGTTAAACCTGAGTCATTATGACCCACCCCAAAATGGGAATTTGAAAAACAGAAAATCCAGATATGTAACTAATTGCCTATGGAAATGTCACATAAAATAAGGCAGCATATCCAGTCTGTGGGGAAAGCATGGACCTTTAGTAAGTTATCGTAAGTAATTAGGCCCATGAAAAAAGATAACATTAGGATAAATTGCAAACGGGTATGTAAAGGAAAAAATAGGAGAACTGGAGGGAAATCTGAGTGCATTCCTTTACATTCTGGTCTTGAGGGAAACGTTCCTAATTACGATTCAAAATAGACCAATAAAATATAGTGATAAAATTGAGTACGCAAACCCAGAAAACTTTTACGTAACAAAAAATACTACATGGGAAAAATTAAGGTACTGGCTGAGAGCAAAATTTTACTAACATATTACAAAGTTTTAGTGTCACCAATATTATAAAAAGCTT